AATGCTAGACAAGTTGGGATATTTCATGCTGATCAACAAATTAGAATATCTTATCAGTTGGAGTGGAACAAGACTATTGGAGTATTCATTTAGAATGTATATTTCACTATTTGCACAGTGTTCCCGCCTGCCCTAAATAGAAGGGCGGCCCGCCCTTGGTGCCCTTACCCCCGCCATTCTGCCCTCAAAAGTAAAAGAATGCACCCCACTGCCTTTTCAAAAAAATAAAATTTCAAAATTTTATGCCTACCGGCGTTTCCGGTAAAATTGTTACCTGATTGTGTAACACTAATTAACTGACAATGGGATTAAGTTAAATACCTAATGCTTTGGCAGTTTTATCACCTTTGTTAATGATTGTTTACTGCTAATTAGTGGATTTAAGATAATTGAACAAATACTAGATATTTAATACAGAATGAAATGTCCACATGTTATCCATTTGTAATGTTTATGTACAGCATGTACACCTGAAAAAATTTATTTCAGAAGGCATAACATAAAAAATAAAATCTTAAACATTTTAAATGCATACATAGTTTTGACTTAATTGGTAAAAAATGTTTTGTTTCATAACCATGAGTATGAAATTTAAAGAGGAATCAAAGAAATTTGTACTTTGAACATAACAAGATTCACTTCCTGTTTTTAATACTTCTTGTATTTTATAATCCTCCTGACATGGAGCACTCAACAAATTTATTTTTAACAATGATGGAGAAAAAAGGTAACTGTTTATACTTTCTGCAATATATTATTGCATCAATATAAATATGATCCTCTCCTGTCTCACCTGTTATATTTATAAAACTCCTTACTGAGGAGCACTTTGGTGTGCACTTAAAAATACTTTTTTGTAACAATTTAAAAGATAATAAATAACTCTCAATAACATATATACTATATGTTTGAACAAGTAATTTAAATGTAGATAATTTAATTACATTCAACATTCAATTTTGCATGTTTAACTCCATCTTTCAAAACTACTTCTTTATTTTGGTATAAGTTATAAAACATTGAAATTTCTGATGATTATTTTCCATACCAAATGTACAAGTTTGTTTAGATTAACATCAGAATGATATGCTTTGCTTCATGGTATGATAATTTGATGAAAAAAATTCTTACTGGAACCAACATCAAGAACACATTAATTTCTGAATATGGTTTAAATACAACTAATGTTCTCCAGCTGAGCCTAGCAATATTCAAGGTAATTTATACACTGTCCAACATTGCCCTTAAAATCTGGGTTATAACGCTGAAGTGCCCTTTCAGACAACTAGCACCCTTCTGCCCTGAGATTCAAGCTGGAACACTGTTGCATATCAAAGCTTTGTGGAATTTCCTGATAACAAATACAGCCTGTACTTAATAATTTTTATTAATCTTGTAAAAAAGATGTATAAGAATCATAAACTTCACATAAAGTTAGCTGGATCTGGTGTTATACCCTCAGTCCCATATCAGTCTATAAGGATGTAATTGTGAAAATATCCATAAAACTTTTGACCTCCAAACTTGATCATTTTATAGATTTATTGAGTTTTTAGATCCAGACTTGTAAATTTTACCTTATTATTAAAATACACTGAGTATGAAATGGATATAATATTTAAATACATGTCTTATCACTTTCATTATTTATTAGGAACAGATGGTAAATTGGTCTATAAACTTTCAAACAAACTTCAGATTCACCAGGGTGGTCAATTGACTTGGGGATGGGTATTACTTCGGGTCATTTATACCTAATTTGTCATTGTCAACACTATCTGACAAAATCATTGTGAATATATTCACTAATATGGTCTTTGAAGTTTTATATTCCACTTTAAGTGCATTGCAAACTTGACTATTTCATTCAAATGATCAGGGGGACTATTTTGTGGTTTGGACACCTGCCCACTGGACACTTTAGGGGGTCATAATTACAGGTCTTTTAGCTTATTTCTCAAACCATGTCTGCCTTTAATAAAGGCCCTCAAGAGAAGTTGTAATTCCTTTCCAAACAATATGGTATAAATTTCGTGTCTACCTTTATATACAAAAATTAACACTTGTACAAAGGTGTAATGAAAATACAGTAGGTGACAAAATTGTTAATCAAACATAGATAATGAATCCAAATATTAAGTAAATAAAAAATTTAAATATTATTACTGAAATCCTTTTAAGAAGTCATAGACCCGACATTTTGTGCTTAAAGCTCTTTTGAAAACTGACACATGTAACCTTATCATTACGTTAATTTAAGGTGTTTTAAGCAGAAAAGCACATAAAGGTGAAAGTAACCTATTAAATATTTAAAAGACATTTAAAGGGTGTAAATTGTCTGAAAATGAATCTCTCTTTCAAACGTTTTCTTTTGACAAACCCCTTCCCCTGCAGGTGACAGGTCTAGTGAGTTCCATATACTAGTGCAAACAAATACATCCAGTTATAAACAAATATATATAACAATATTTCCCTTGTGCGTGGGTTTTTGCTCAAATTTAAATTTATTGAAAATAAAAATATTAGAACTTGTATTAGAATTAATATTTAATACCATTTCCTAACAAACAGGTGACATTCTTAGTAAACTTCTCTTCAAAAACTGATAGTTAACTGATTGTATTGGGTTGTGACAAATATTTAGTCATTCAATAAAACACTTTGGTCTATTCCACAGATGCTACTTTTACATTATTTATATTAAACATATATTCTCTAGTATTTTGTGGTCTACTGCCAATAACCATGATTTAAATCTATCAAATTTAGGGTTAGGTTAAAAATGGCATGTTGCTTTTTAATATCAACCCAAAGTAACCTGGAGTAGTTTGCTACATAAAAATGTAATGCCTTTAATGTCTCAAAATTTCAAAAAAGTTATAAAAAGGAATAATTTTTAAAAAATGTCCATGTACCCAATAAAAATAAAGGCAGGAGATATCAAAAGTCATAAGATGAAGATAGGATGACAAAATGATGGCTGAAAATGACAAAAAAAAATATAACAACCCCCCCAAAAAAATTGGGGTTATCTTAGCTTGTTCCAAAGGGGTTAGCAGATTCTGCTCCACATGGGACACCCATTGTATTACTCCTGTAAAATTCATTAATAAGTCAATCAAGTGTCACAATGACACAAAAGTAAAATAACAAAAATATCGAACTGAACTCGAAGGAAAATTCTAAACGGAAAGTCCCTTATCAAATGGCAAAATCAAAAGCTAAAAAAATGGAAAACAACTGTCATATTACAGGATTAATTTTTATAGGGACCTATAAGCTGAATGCTGTAAATCTCATATGTAACATAACATATAAATCAGATTTAATAGGTGTAAATATGAATTAGAGAGAAGAGTTCATGTCATCAAAATTTATAATTTTTATATGAAAATTTACTTTGAATTCACAAATAAACAGCATAGGAATACCTGCCTATTAAGACTTTAATAAAATCCTTACCAACTTATGGCAATTAAATAGGTTTATAGTGTTAATGCTTTCACCTTAGGGACATGATATAATAAATGAAACCCCCCATCTACATGTAATATTAAACAATTATATAACCATCAGGTGTTCATAGACATAAATGCTGAATCAGCATTATATTATTAATTATTAAACACAATTTTTAAAGCAGTTTTATTACATTTACAGTATTTTCTCTTGTAATAATTTAAATATTTCTCTAATATCTCACATGTAATACATACATTAATATGTCTTTCCTTGTATGACCACGATATAGCCTTTTTGCACTGATGTGGTGTAAAGCAATCATCAATCAATCTTTCCCTGTATTTTATTTAAGAGTAAATTTTTAAAGCATTATTAAGGTTTTGAAAAGAAAAACTGTTTGCAAGATTCAAACATCATTATTTTCAAAATAAATTTCCAGAAAAATTATCAGTTTCCCACATAAATTATTCAGGATAATAATCTATCAAAAGTTTTTTCTCATGCTTAAGAACGCTCATTCATTATGGATGGAAGCCCATGTCACCATAAAATCGCTTCTGATAACACTGATGAGTCTTCTAATAAATATTTGCTCTTAAATCTCTAAATTACCTCTAATCTAGGCATCTTTGGATTGTTTTTCTGAGATACAGGACTTTACTGTCAGGGAAGAAATATGGGAGACATGATTAAATAATATCAATTATTTTACCAGGGTCTGATCAATAAAAGAACATGGGTGTTAAAACTTGCTACAAGTTTTTACTTCTTTTAATGGACCTTTTAAATTATTGTAAAAGACTGCTACTTTCCTGCAGCTGTCAGTTCTCTTGTCTTTATCACATATTTGTAAAAAGTTGACATACATAGTCTGAAGGATGAATTCAAGTCTAAATAGTGATTTGTGAAATTGTGTCCTGCAGATGATGATGATCAACGTTTTGGAGTGAAAAAAACACCCCAAAAATTAAAAGATAAGAAATGCAAAGTGGACTAACTTTGGTACAATTTGTATTCTGTCAATATACAAAAGTTTAGTCTTTTATAAAGAGAATTTATAGGTTTTGGTTATTAAGCCATAAAAAGATATGATTACTACATAGCTAAGTAATAAAAGTTAAGATATCAATATAACTAAAGCTGACAGTTTAAATGGGTTTTTTTAAATAGGACATCATAAAACATGTAAAACATGCATTGAGGAGCAAGTTACTTTTGGCTAAGGTGTTGATTCTGAAAACACCAATTTATCACTGTTTTTTTAAAATGATAATCTGAAGGACTAACTTAAAACAAAAGAAAGTGATATTCACTTATTAGTTGACTGTCAATCAATTTTGAAATGTCTTCTGAATTGTGCAGCTCCTGCTCTAATAACCTCAAGTTCATTTGATACACACTGGATTCTGGTTAAAGTCATTCAAGTCTTAAGGATAAGATGGTGATGATCCCCCAGCTCTTAATATTTCATGCTACAAATTAGTATTTTATATGCCTGGTATAGTAGGATTTGGTTTATTTATGATTAAATATTCTACCTCTTTGCAGCTTTTGTTGCTTTTAGTGATTTGATAAATCTGATGTCTCTAATATCTGTTTCTTCTCTTTGGTACATGCTATAAAAATAAAATAGTATAACTAGAAAATAAAAGATCTCTTACTAGCTGGCAATTTTTTTTATAAATTGGTACACAAACATTTCTGCTTGAAATAGAATGTTTGGTGGGAATAAGAAGCCATAAAGACATATTGATTTCTGAATGTTTTTATTCAATTCTTCATCATGATTTAAATTTTTTTTAAACGGAATGAAAATTTCATTCTCTTTTATTTTAGGAGTTTATTTTATTCCCCCCAAAAAAACTACAAGTCAAAGCTGGATAAATAAATTTACAGAACACTATTAATCTCACAAGGTCTAATTAGTTCTTATCACCAGTCACATTTATTTGAAATTGTCTAATGCTTTAATCTAATTGGTCAATTTGAAAATTTGAAATAAATGACCTTGAGACATCTGGGTCACCCTGATCAATTATTTACTGCTCATTAAGTTATCTAAACCTATTGCTCAATCTAATTCAACAATACCATTATGAAATTTTTCTTTCAATGTAAATAATCCAATACAACAGGCTGATGGATTTACAATGGACAGAGGTCATTTAAAAGTTAATGATCTATGAACATTCTGATGGCAATTTTGGCCAGATACATATATAATCACAGTTGGTGTTAAATTAGGGACCAAATTAACCCTTTTCTAGAGGCTAAATCACATTACTATTTAGGTTGTCAGATAATAGTTAAAAATGTTACAAAATAAACAATTATATGTGAAATAAAGTTTGTTTAGAGTAGTCTAGTCCCTCTTTAGGCAAACAAACTATAGAAATGAATATAAAAATCTATATATTTTATCGATCTAAAAATTATCCAAATATTAAGTTTTATTAAATCTAGAGCGTTTGAACATCAAAACAGATGTAAATGTTCACAAAATCAAGTAAACAAATACTATTCAAGAGATCGAGTTGAAATTGTATACATATTGTATTGTATCACCTTCCCCTAGAATACAATATAACTGTGTATCTTAACATGTTTGTGTCTGAGTTTTTCCCCTGGACAAACACTAAAAATTTATACAATTCAATCACTTTTTCTATTTAAAAGGGTCCTCGTCTTTTATCCTGGCGTCGCTTTCGATGAATAAACAAACACTTGAAAACCAAGTTGAAAAGTCTTAATAAGCATTTAACCTATTGAAAACCTATATAGATCATTTGGATAAGTTTCTGATTTCGGAGATTGTGTTATTGCAGGTAGCGATAGCTGATTTAGCCCATAAATACTCCTGTCAATGCACTGTATCAAAATAGTTCACTTATGAATTGCAATTAGGCTTTGATTGCTTCAAACATTTTATTCAATACAATCAAGAAAAAATCTCTGAAGTTGAACAGAGGAGTGTAATTTTCCACCTCATATTGATCTGACAAGAAGTCATCCAATATGATAAAATCCTTAGATTTTTATCATCTGTAAATGAAATTAACGTGTGAACTGCAATTCCCCCAATTTTTGTGAAATATTTAACAATTTCTCATATTGAACATGACAACAGGATTACTTAAGACAACAAAAGCCTATTTTCAAATCTGTATACATGTTATATCAGTTTTCCATGGCATGACAACAAAGATTTAGTTTCAATCACAATATAATATATTCTATATGGACAGTGACATAGCCAGTGGTTATTGATGGCTACCAAATTAACAGGGAAAACCAGAAAAAAATGGAATTCAATCTCAATAATTGTGTAGCCTGATAAGAACAGCCAAATATTGATATTGGGCAATGACATTTTTATTTTTATTAGGGGGGGGGGGGGGGGGGGGGTGTCAGGGGAAGGTTTTACAAAAGAAACTTAATTATGTACTTGGCTTTTTTATATTGCAATCCAAGTAAGGCTCCCAAAAAAAAATAATAATACATATGTTTCTGCTAACATGCCTAAAAAAATAAGGGTCAGTAGGAAGGAAAATAATTTTATTTTTCAAATTTTCAAAATCAGTTCAACAGGGGAATCTGTAACTTTAATAGTGACCCAAAATAAAATCTTTCGAGTAGGCACTAAAATGAGGGGGCAGTCAGGTTGGCAGAAACACAAGTATTGTTTCAGCCAAAAGAGACTATTATTAATAATATGGAAACAAAATAAAATTGAATCCATTAAAATATTAACAGTAGTAACTTTGGGTCTTTTACAGAACTTTCTTCTTCGAAACTGAACTGAAAGTTCAAAACACGACGATTCTTACTTTTCATGCCTATAATCCATTTTTATGGCTAACAACTAAACATTTCATTTAAATTTATACTATTACAACTTTCTATCAGATACTTAGTTATCAGATACTAAAGTAAAGAGTCAATGGCCTAGTTAAATCAATACTCAACTTAATTATAGTATTTTATGTAAACTGACAACCAAGTACATGTTATTTATTCCTATTTTTATCTTAGCACTTTGCCACAGGCTGAACAACAAATTTTGATGCATGTTATAGTGTAAAAAGTACATGTTTAACCAATATACCTACATGTACCAAGCAGCAAAAAATCAAAAGATCAAAGGGAAAAATTGATGGTCCTCTATGTTGATTTCATGTCTATAGGGCCATTAAGTTCTGATAGGATCTCAGTTAGATGACTATTAAACATGGACCAGATATCCAGGACTATACTGAGAGATAAAAGGGGCATAAAACACTAGTTCTTGTAAAGAATCTGATCATAAATCAGTAGATAAATACCCTTGAGACTAATGTTGACTAATTTTTACATCATTTTCTATCAAAATAAAATCCCTCAATAATTCCAAAAATCTGGAATATCTAAAATTAAGGTCAAAATCATCCTAAATACTGCCTGTAAATACAACATAGTATGAACGACACATCAACATTGACTGAATTTGGTAAAAGTCACTTTAGAACTTGGTGTTGCATGTAATATGCCATGTAAATTAAACCTCCCACTCTTAATTAAACATTGATGAAAAATTCCATGTTCAGGGTTGTGCAATAAAAAATCATGGTATCATCAACAGGAAGTGATTGCTCTTCAGATCTGAACCTTCTTACACAGCACAACTTAACATAATAAAGTTCCAAACCAAATCCTTCATACAGAAGCCTGGTAATATGTAACAGATGAACAGACCAACAAAGTCGTTGCAGTATACTACCTACTCCGTGAATCACAAGAGTTCTCGAAAAGTGGTGGTCCGAAGGTGTTGACCAATAAAATTTTGCAAAGGACCTACACAATTTTGGTAATTTGCAATAGAAATAATAGTAAGGACGAGCATATTTTATTCAAGGACCGCCAGGAGAAAAAGATTCAGAGAATTCGGTTAAAATAAGCTGTAATTTAGACAATCATCAGGAATCTGTGATAATTATAACATGATCAATAGCCTACAAATAGATAATTAGAAGCATTCAAATACATATCAATCTCTGATTTTTTGTAAATAAAGTATACATAATGCTATTTGTGATTTTTCACATTTAAGATGTACATATATGAATAATGTAAATTTAATTGTATTGGTTTAAAGGGAAACAACTCGAATACATTACTGTAAATTCAGAAATTTTTTGCAAAGTTTGTACAATTGTGAGTGGATATGATAAGCCAAAAAAACATAAGCATTTTAATTTTGAAACTAATATTTGTGTGCAGCATATTGTGAAATCACAATAATTAATCCCACATTTTTGTTCATTGTTCAACAATCACAATTCAATTTAATACATGCACAAATTTCTGAGACAACTATCCATCCAAGTACAAATGATATGATTATTTATTTTGAAAATAACTTGCCAACACTGCAATTTATTTGGCTTTAAATATTTCACTTTACAAGAGTAGACATACTTATGTCTTGAATTCTGCAATATTGATTTTTTTTTAAGGGCAATGAACTCTAAAACTGAGGCCATCTGTAATCTGTCCAGTGCACCTGATTATTTACAGGTATACATTGACAACTATTTACAACAAATCATGTATATTTTCTCAACTTGAGAGGTACATAATTAATTAATCAAAAGCAGACCTAAAGAACATGAAATTAAGGTCAAGGCAATACAACATATTACAGACATACAGACATACATGTACTGCTTGCAACAAATCCACAAATTAATCATTGTTGAAGAGTTAAGTAATGGAGTACAATATTGAAAAAAATACCAGACCATTGAAAAATGAAATGAGGTCAAGGTCATGTAACAATATCTATTTGACAAAGTCTGGTTATAAACTACAACTACATTCAAAACTTTGTCATCCAGGATAAAAGTGGGATTTTACTTGGTTATTTCAAGAGAACATTAAATTGGTAACGTTCAAAAGGGTCTTGACTGGATCTCAATAAAATAAGTTTGCCAGATATTAGTGAGACAGTAACCCAACATATCCTTACCCCCACACATATTTCATATGACACAAGGACCTTGACCAAAGACAAGTCTCTATACCATATATGTCAAGCTCTCAATCCCCCCCCACCCCACCCCAAGTATAGACAAGTAGTGAAGAATTTTAATACAAATCATGAAAGTATTATTTTAATTCTATGCAAAGACCAACAGTGGTAATGCAGATCTTAATAGAAAAGACAGGATATTGGGTATCCATCATTGACACAAAATCAGTAAATGCACAGCAAAAAAACATAAAAGGCGAAGAAACAGCGCTATTAGCGCTATTATTGCTATTCTTCATCAAAGTCACAGTGAGGCCTTCAACACAGAACAAAATAACTCTCACCTTACTGTAAGTTTAAGACGGCCCCTAGCACCCGTTTGAGCGGAATTCTTTGCAAACTTAGATGACTTTACATCAAGGAATATAACAAAAGACAACCACTATCTTGGGATAGCACAAATAACAAGTGATGGGGTTAAACTAGAGCTTTACTTAATTACCTTACTAAGAGAAATGTTTGAAGAAGATCAACACAACTATGAAATTACAATTTTTTAAGTACTAAAGACTTTTTATAATTATAAATACCTAGAACACTTTAACTGTTTGCATAATCCAATTTATATAGTTTAATGAAACTCTTTAAAATACAGAGTTACAATACTTCATTCTGATTTTTAAAGTGTTTTTAAAACGCACTGCAATTAATCAATAATTAACAATAATCAGGGGAGTAAATCTGTCACATTATTTATGGAAAGAAAGCGCTGAATTAAATATATTTAATATTGAGAACTTTTTTCATGTTAAGTATCACAATAGCAGTCTTCAAAGTTCTCAAAAGAATACAAATGGTTTGATTAAATAATTGTCACAGAAAATAACAATGCTTTAGGGAATCATCTACACTGACAGGGTTTATTAAAACTGTTGAGATAGGCTCTGATGAACAGACAGAAAATGGGATTAGTATTGATTTTAAGCTTAAGTTAGAGGTTTTATTTTGACTTGGCAGATGGCTCTTAATGTTCATTTTGGAGAACTGCCACTTTTTTCCAGTTACTTGGGTTCGTTTATAAGATTTGACCATCCAGTAGTAAAATAAGAATTTACATTGTAAAACATTCTTAGCAATATGTATGACACTTATCCTGTTAAATTCACTTGTTCTCATTATGGACCCTGTATAATACTTTAGTAACATGTTTTTCTACAAATATTTTTTTTTTAAATGCTTTATTTTCTACAACTGTAAACTGACATAAGAGGAAATATATTGTTAATGTACATGAAGCAAGTAAACAATTTATACTAGGAATAAACCCGACACTGAAGAAAGAGAGCTGTTATTGCTCATCTTCATCCTGATTACAGTTTTAAGGGTTCAAAGAGTAAAACAATATCTTCAATATTCACCAATAATTTTTTAATATTTTTGCTTCCTTTTTTTTTTTATTGAAGAGCAGTATTTCATACAACTACTGTGAAATAAATTTGATCATTATGATAATGCTTAAAGAGAGACAACTCTTATACTAACCCTATTCACATTATTAAGCTACATTCAAAGAAAAATATTCTGTCTGATTCCCCCTGTAGGGAGACTTTCAAGAACTTTGAACATGAAAAATCTGTGACCCTGTAATAACTTTGTGATGGGTCCAAAGGGTGATGTATTGCAAGGAAAAATTCTGCCCCCCTACCAAACATACCCTTTTTCCAGTGACAATCTAAATGACCTGCCCTTCTTATAGTTGATCAATTTTTCAAAACATATCAACTAATTTATTTCTCAACCCGAATATGTATGAACTATTTGCCACTAGACAAACAACAATCTATCTATTTTTAATATCTTCCATGTTAACAGCTTTGAATATTTAATCTAACATAAACTGCTGTCAATCATGTTGGGATATCAGTAAATGAATTCATGCTTTTGACATTGATCTACCTTGATCTAGAAAAGCAATATTTGACTGACCAGTCAAACTATACCCTGATCAACATGAACTCATCAATTACAGACACTATATCTATTTTGTGTGTCCTGTTTGAATTCATTAACTATAGTAGTACGGCCAATGACTTAACACAGTACATTGACATTTTGCCCGACCTACTTTATACATTTGTGTGAAATCATTATCAATTTTCCTAAATATAGGTTTATATCATTTAAATTAAATTGTTAATACTTTCTGCGTTCTACAGAACTTATGTTCAATAAAATGAAATTGAAAATAAAGAGGAAGAGGTTTCCTTAAATATTGTTAAAGTTTTCAGCCAGAGGTCGTGAGTACAATGTACTTCTTTTTTTAGACTTCCAAAACGATAACATTATCTCAATTACGCAGTAAATCAAAATCAATCGGACTTTTATTTTCAATAATAGCTTACAGTAAAATACACTGCAGGAAGATGGAATTATACCTATTTATAGCATAATTATGGTAGATAATATATATGTATGCGGACATGCTTCCATTGACCTTTTTTACATGACCCACTAATCCACATCCTGACATGAAATGAGTACAAATAACCTGGCTGCACTTTTTATGACATACATCCAACAAAACTTGTGATCAGGAGTTGGGCAATTTTGTTGATGCTTACATTGTTTTCTATACCAATAAATACATTGATTATTTATTCTATTTTCTATATATATATATATCTATTTCTGTGAACTTTTATCAGTATACAATGCATGATATTATATAATATAATGTATGTATCAATATACGCATGAAAATTGTAAAACTTTTTGCACTAACTTAAACATATTATGTAAGACCCAAACCTAATAGGATAGAAACTGTACTGTGATTCTGTACCTTATATCAGATCAACTTGTCTATACTTTAATGACCATTTTATTGAATATCCATTTGGTCTAGCATGTCTTATATTCTTTAATTCTGAAAATAAAGAGGGAAAGAACCAATTAGCTTTTACAGATTTTTTGTATACACAGATACATTATAGATATGCAATGATCACATATGGTTTATTAACAGCTAAGAGAAAATAAACATGGCATGCATGTTAAATAAATCAGTAAAATGTTAATTTGGTGTAAAGATAATAGGGGCATACAGAAGGGGTACAATCTGAAACAACTTAAGCAACATTTTGCATTGCCACAAAACAATTTGATCATTTAAAATAAGAAAACCAATATGAATAAGTTCAAGGGCCATAGATAACAAATTCTTTGACAGCCTTATTCACCAAAAAAAAAATCATCATAAACTACATACAAAATTTTCATAAAAAGTCTTCAATTTCATTTTATTTCTATAATTCAGTCACTATAACCTAAATTTTGATGAGAGGCTGGCTGTCTCTATATACAAAGTAACATGAATCTGGGTATGGAAGTATTATACTTCAAACCATTACCAAAGAGAGCATACCATGGAGCATTAAATATAGATGATTTCAAACTACTGTATTTCAGATTTTTTTATCACTAGGGAAATAATTGACAGGATTTATATCTTATTTAAGGATTCAATCAAAGTGATTAATAGGAATTGTATGAAGATATGAGATATTTTCATATTTCAATCTTTGTTTTTCAAATTTGTTTTTATACCAGAAAAATTGACATGAAAAGATGCATTCAACCATCAATTACATTTTTTTATTGCACTAATTCCTGAAATTGCATTTAATAAGCCTCAGATTTTTGTCTGATGATCAACTCTCCTCATAAAAAAATGCATGCACATGCAATAATTTTTGAATTTCAAGTCACAAAATAGAAAGTATAGCAGATGTATTCACTTCCTCATTGTGAACCCCATGTTTCATGTTAAAACTGTTCATTGATCATTTGATTCAATTATATTTATCAATGATTTATTTACACTGTACAAGATAAAGGCTCAGAAAAATATTCTCACATTTCAGTTAGTCAGCAGAAACATTCTACAGAAGACAAGATGATAACACCTAATATCTCTGACTCCACAAAGATCACTGGCTCTTCTATAGTTAATGGACAAACACCTAACATATGAATGGTACAATAGTTATCTCTCTCAATGTTTGAGTAAATATTATATTGTCTTATTATGCAATTTTAAAATTTCTTTTATTAACAGATGAAGGAGAAACAAGAAAATAGGTACTTTGTTGGCCTGAGATACAACTGAAGGAACTCCATCCTTCATGAGGTCATAGCTACTCAAGCTCAACAAGTCCTTATTCATAATTATTTAAGATTGGTTGATTGATTTTTGGGGTTTAAAGCCACTACTTATTTAAGAAGTTATATCCTTCATCTAATAAACATACTTCAGGGATAGTGGAGAGGCTGATTGCAGGTTATACTTCTGCCTTAATTCCCAAGAAAGATGACCAAGACTTGACAATATGTCTCCTCACTTATAATTATTGTTTATTTTGGACATAATGTAAATTTTTGTTTTATCAAGACAAGAATTAGAACTAGAGGCTCTTGGAGCTTGCATTGCCCACTTGGCATTTTTGCACAAAATTGATAGAATGCAATATTTTTATAGTGAGTAAAAATTAAACAACCTTTATGAGCATGCTCACATACCCCACGCCCCCACATTGCCACTGGGCAAACAAAATCTCACCAAAGTCCTAAGTTCAATGACTCATAACTCCTACAAAAGTCAAATGATAAAAATTTCTTATGGATATGCACATCTCAACTACAAAGTTTCTTGAAATTCTGTTGTGTGGTTTAAGAGGAGTCGCAATGACAAATTGTTGCAGTAGTATATTTAAAATTCAAATGCAAAGGGGCATAACTCCAAGAGAAAAAAAATCAGAATTTCCTGTCGATATGCACATCTACATAGTATGTCCTTATTATCAATAAAGTTTTTAGTATGTCCTTATTATCAATAAAGTTTCATAAACTGTTATCACAGAGATATGGCTTGCCTTTTTTGTAATTTTGATTATGCAAGTGTTGAAATTAAAATGGCAATACTTAACAAGTTAGGCTAATATTCAAAGTCAATGAACCATGACTGAGGTACATTTCTAAACCATCTCCATGTAAGTGAGATTCGCCAATGCTAATACAACTGCATACCAAATATCATTGACTTATTATAAGTTGTTCCCTTTAAACAAACCTAAACACAAACATTAACTTGTAAACTATGTAAAAGTTTCAAAGTCAATGAACCATCAAGAGGGAGTGGAGCTATATAATCTCCAGGGAAACGATACCTACAAATGCCAATAAATTTGCCTACCAAATATCATTGACTTAACATTAGCAGTTCGTCTTAAACTGATCTTATCACAAACTAATACATGTAAACTAAGCATAAGTTTCAAAGTCGATAGGCAATGACTGAGGGGATGGGGCCAAACATTCTCCATTGAAATGAGATGTGCTAATGCTTATACAACTGAATACCAATTAACATTGGCCTACCACTAATGGTTCCCCTTGAACTGACCTAATCACAAACTAATACATGTTAACTAAGCAAAATTTTCAAAGTCAATAGACCATGACTAAGGGGGCTGAGCCAAATAATCTCCACGGAAATGAGATGTGTCAATGCTTATACAACTGCATACCAAATATCATTGACCTACCACTAATGGTTCCCCATAAACTGACCTAATCACAAACTAATACATGTAAAATAAGCAAAAGTTTAAAAGTCAATAGACCATGACTGAGGGGGCAGGGCCAAACAACCTCCAAGGAAATGAGATGTGCCAATGCTAATACAACTGTATACCAAATATGATTGACCTACAACTTCTGGTTCACCACAAACTAGACCTAATCACAAACTAATACATTGTTGACGCTGCAGCTGCCGCCGACGCAAGAAACAGCATACCTGTGTCTGGCTTTTTGACTCTGTCAAGCGAGACAATAAAATTCTGTTGTGTGGTTTCAGAGGAGTTGCAATGACAAGCTGTTGCAGCAGTATATTTAAAATTCTAAGTTCAAAGGGGCATAACTCCCAGAAAAATTACAGAACGGAAACAAAAAATTGCTGAATTTTTCCATTTGTAAAGGGGCAAAACTCTAGAACGGTTACAGTGACGCCACCAAATTCCAAACTTGATCTGTGTTTTGTGGTAATTAGCATTGTGTATAAGTTTCATAACATTTGGTTGAGGCTAACTTAAGTTAGAGAACGGAAACTAAAAATTTTGCAATTTTTCCATTTATAAAGGGGCATAACTCTAGAACAGTTAAAGTGACACCACCAAAATTCAAACTTGATCTGTATTTTGTGGTAATAAGCATTGTGTATAAGTTTCATAACATTTGGTTGAGGCAAACTAAAGTAAGAGAACAGAAACGAAAAATTCAGCAATTTTTCCATTTGTAAAGGGGCATAACTCTAGAACAGTTAAAGTGACACCACCAAAATTCAAACTTGATCTGTATTTTGTGGTAATAAGCATTGTGTATAAGTTTCATAACATTTGGTTGAGGCAAACTAAAGTAAGAGAATGGAAACCAACTTTGGGACATACGGATGGACAAGGGTAAAACTTAATGCCCCCTCCGCTACGGCCGGGCATAAAAATAGAATCATTATTTCCTGTCAATATGCACATCTACATAGACCTAATTATCTATAAATTTTCATGAAATTCTGTTGTGTGGTTTCAGAGGAGTTGAGATGGACAGGTCAAATACATTATACCCCACTTAACTTTGTTGCGTGGGTGTGGACCAACGATTTTTGTCATTTGACTTGTTAAGGGCATACAATACAGTTTTTATCCCTCTGTGATTTTTTATGAAAATTTGCATACAAGCTATTTTCCACCTAGTCAATTCAAAAATGGAATAAAAAATACCTTCATGTGCTACTTTTAGAGATAAATGGTGTTGGAATTTTAGACATTTACTCAAAAATTGCAGTTTCTTGGACATTTCTAACCTTTGGAAAGACATACCTAACTTTTTTGTTTCAAAAGATAAACATTAGCAGATTTTTTTTACAACATTTGGAAAATCTTCTTTACATAAGTATGCTCTTAATTTGTGTAACAACTCTAGAAATAATTCATGATTTTAGAAAAACACAGGCATATTTATCTAATTTAAAAAAAAATCATCTGCGATTTTTTTCACAAGAGTGCACACGCTGAAATGTCTCGCCTTCTTTACTAATCATTGATATTATGTTGATAGTCCTAAATATAAAGCTTTATTACAACTGTCACATAAACTTAACATTAACCAAGTAAACTAAACATTGACCAATGAACCATGAAAATGAGGTCAAGGTCAGATGAACCATGCTAGGCAGGCATGTACAGCTAACAATTCTTCCATACAACAAATATAGTTGACCTATTGCTTATAGTTTAAGAAAAACAGACGAAAACACAAAAACTTAACACTGAGCAATGAACCTTGAAAATGAGGTCAAGGTCAAATAAAACCTGCGTGACTGACATATAGATCATAAAATATTTCCATACACCAAATATAGTTGAACTATTGCATATAGTATTAGAAAAAAAGACCAAAACTCAAAAACTTAACTTCGACCACTGAACCATGAAAATGAGGTCAAGGTAAGATGACACCTGCCAGCTAGACATGTACACCTTACAATCATTCCATACACCAAATATAGCTGACCTATTGCATGCAGTATTAGAAAAAAAGACCAAAACTCAAAAACTTAACTTTGACCACTGAACCATGAAAATGAGGTCAAGGTAAGATGACACCTGCCAGCTAGACATGTACACCTTACAATCATTCCATACACCAAATATAGCTGACCTATTGCATGCAGTATTAGAAAGAAAGACCAAAACTCAAAAACTTAACTTTGACCACTGAACCATGAAAATGAGGTCAAGGTCAGATGACACCTGCCAGCTAGACATGTACACCTTACAATCATTCCATACACCAAATATAGAAGACCTA